GAATTCCCCAGGGCAGGTTATCGCCGCGTTAGACTTCACACGTACGGGAAAGTCCTCGTACAACTAAGTCCCAAAAATAAGTCTAACAGCTCGTGAAAAATATTTAAAAAATTGTTGTATTTTTCTAAGTAGTGTATAATTCATATTTAATTATAATTAAAGTAATTGGATGTACCAGAGGAAGTTCAGTGCGTTAGACCTCACATTTACTGAAAGGTTCAAGGAAATTAAGCCTCCAAAATAAGTTATAAAGTTCATAAACACAAGATTCAATCCTGCTTTTATTGTTTCTAAAATAGTATGAAATTTCTTTTTAACTACAGTCGATGTAATTAAATTCACCGGCGCAGGTTATCGCTGCGTACATGTATTCCACATATACTAAAACGTCCTTAGCCAACGAATTCTTATAATTAACATTTTTTAAAACCATTTTAACCATCCCTATACATAAAAAACATGTAAATTTTAAAATAAATATATTAAATTTTTGGTTTACTTTATGGTATGCATTTTACAAATTAATCCGCCAGAGCGCCGCGTTAGACTTCACACCTTTTGAAAGGTCCTTTGTCAATTTAATCTTAAATATAACTTCAATGTTTAAAAGAAGGAAAATATTACATCCTGTTTGCATAGGCTGTAAAAGAGCATAGAATTTATTGTGGACTTGAATCCCCCAGGGCAGGTTATCGCTGCGTTAGACTTCACACCTACGGGGAAAGTCCTCGTACAACTAAGTCCAACTGCTCGTGAAAAATATTTAAAAAATAGTTGATTTTTCTAAGTTGTGTATAATTCATATTTAATTATAATTAAAGTAATTGGATGTACCAGAGGAAGTTATCAATGCGTTAGACCTCATATTTACTGAAAGGTTCAAGGAAATTAAGCCTGCAAAATAAATTATGAAGTTCATAAACACAAGATTCAAGTCTGCTTTTATCTAATCTTAAATATAACTTTAATGTTTAAAAGAAGGAAAATATTACATCCTGTTTGCAGAGGTAATAAAACAGCATAGAATTTGTTGTGGACTTGAATTCCCCAGGGCAGGATATCGCTTCGTTAGACTTCACACCTACGGGAAAGTCCTCGTACAACTAAATCCCAAAAATAAGTTTAACAGATCAAGAAAAATATTAAAAATTTTTTTGCGATTTTTCTAAGTTGTGTTAAGTCATATTTATGATTAAAGTAATTGGCTATACCAGAGGAGGTTATCGCTACATTAGACCTCACGCATACTGAAAAGTTCAAGGCAATTAAGCCTCCAAAATAAGTTATAAAGTTCATAAACACGAGATTCATATCTACTTTTATTGTTTCCTAAATAGTATGAAATTTCTTTCTGATTACAGTCGATGTAATTGAATTGCCCCGAGCAAGTTATCGCTGCGTAATATTCCGTTTTCCAACGAATTCTTATTACATTTTTTATAACTATTTTTTAACCATTTTAAACCACCTAACAATAAATAACATTTAAATTCTAAATTCTATATATTAAAGACTCATTCTTTTGGTTTATTTTACGGCATGCGTTTTACTTATAATCATAATTTACTTAATTAAGTCAGCCAGTGCAAGTTATCGCTGCGTTATGACTTACAATTTATAAACGTGTTGAACTCATCGAAAAATAAATGAATTGACGTATTTCACAATTTTTAATCGCGAAGAACACTTGTGCAACGACTTTGCCCCATTTAGAGCTTTAGAATTACTTTTTCTTTAATCACGAACGGCTCACAAAAAAATGTTAAATTAGGTAATTAAAAATGGTTCTGACGACCTTTGATTTGTAAATGTGGAGCAGTAAACATTTTAATTAATGTGTGGAGTTTAGTGACAGTTAGTTAATGATTATTCGCAGATCGTGAGATGCGGTCTGGTATGACGTAGGTTTTAGAAAAACATTTTCTTTATCGTGCCAACGTTTGGATCTTTATTGAGATCATCTTCAATGCTCAAAGTGTTTGTTTTCCGTGTAGATGTGTCATTCTTGTGTGCTCAGGGCATTTTCCACGACAGATAAGAATGACACATCTACACCGAAAACGAACACTTTGAGCACTGAAGATGATCTCAATAAAGATCGAAACGTTGGCAAGATAAAGAAAATGTTTTTCTAAAACCTACGTCACACCGGACCGCATCTCACGATCTCCGAGTAATCATTTTAATTAATTCCATTATATTTCGTGGTCCGACTGACCAAATAACTTCTGTCAATTAATTAATTTTTATGTAAGGAATTGGTTGAGATTAAAAAATGTCAAAAAGGAGGAAAATTCGAAAGGTGGGGTTAAGACGGGAAGTTGGTTCCCAAGTGGATCGAAGTAACGATAGCTCAAGTGGTACAGCAGCGGCGTATTTAGCCCGATGATCTTGAGTTCGAATCCCGCTCGTGATGCTGACTTTTTTTATCTCAACCAATACCTTACCTAAAAATTAATTAATTGAAAGATTTTAATTAATCTGAACATTTGTTATTTAGTTCACAACGTGTTAAAAAGCGAGGGTGGGCCCAAGGAATTTTATAATAACAATCCAAAGTGCATATCACTCTAAATAAATTTCAAAACAATCTACAGAACAAAATATATAATTCAATGCTATAATACTATAGTTATAATACTATAGTTTATATATAATTATAATTAATTTTAAAAGTGCCAGAACAGTATAGCGCAGTGTTGGACATCATGATTATAAAGTGCCATTTGTCTATTTCTTCAACCAAAAGGCTCGACAAGGGATCATAATTACAATCTAAAACACAGATTATCCAAACTAAGTTTTTGGGTTGATAGAATCCTATTATAAATAGGAAAATACAATTATNAATATACTTTTATAAATAAATAAAAATATCAAGATAAGCATTATCCGTTTTTTTTCCATCCGTGGTCTTAAGCAAATCCCTAGATAATACCTTTTGCCATTTGTGTATTTTTTTTAAATAGAACTTTATATTCGGCCCTTTCCGTTGTCCTCTTGTTGAAATGAAAATATATCGTAAATTTGTTTGAATATATTTGTTGTAAATTGTAAAGTGGTCTTGTTGAAGTGTTAGTTTGAATTGATTCAGAGCGACTCTGGAAATAAAATAATTGTCCCAAGCTCGTTGAACTTTCCCACATTCCTCTCACAATGTTGCAATTGTATTGTTTTCAGCCTTAATTGAATATAATTAAATGCATTTTCCCCGATTGTAAAATTGCCGCAATAGTACGTCTTTTTTTTAACAGAATTATTTAATGAAAAGTTATTGTTAGGTTTATTAATTTAATTATTTTTACAAAGGTTGATAAAATTCCTAAAAATAAGGACCTAGATTGATAAAATAAGAAATGAATTTCAAATCGAAGTCTGCTCGTCCGCCTCTCTTTCTATCTATATTTCTTTTTGTCTTTTCTGTCTGTCTGTATATAAATCTGTCTATTAATGTATCTGTCTGTATTTCGAAATGTCTACTTATCTTTTGTTCTTTCTGTCCTTCTATCTGCCTGACTGTCTGACCTTTTTTTTTCCTTCTGCCCGGTAAGAACAAATTGAAATTAATGTTTAATCGAAAATGTTTATAAATAAGCAAATAATATAATTGGAAAAAATTAATAAAATAAATGTGTGGTGTTTAGTGACCCTTAGTCCATAATTATTCAGAAATCGTGTGATGTAGGTTTCAGAAAAACATTTTCTTTATCGTGCCAACGTTTCGATCTTTATTGAGATCATCTTCAGGGCCTGGGATTTACAAACATTGTTTAAATTTAACAAATACATGTAGGATGTGGAAAAAAGTGAATTTATACAATGCAAAAAAATATATTTTTTATATTCAATCAAATTATTTCTACTCACTCAAAGTGTTTGTTTTCTACGTAAGTGTGCCATTCTTGCGTGACGTGTGCGAGTGCCAGTGAGATATTGCATACATATACAAACATAAAACAGCAAGACACGTAAGAATGTCACAATTACACAGATGACAAACACTTTGAGTGAGTAGAAATAATTTGATTGAATGTAAAAAATATATTTTTTTGCATTGTATAAATTCACTTCTTTCCACATCCTAAATGTATTTGTTAAATGTAAACAATGTTTGTAAATCTCAGGCCCTGAAGATGATCTCAATAAAGATCGAAACGTTGGCCCGATAAAGAAAATGTTTTTCTGAAACCTACATCACACCAGACCGCATCGCACGATTTCTGAATAATTAATAAAATAAGCAAAATTTAAAGTTTGTTCCCAACCTTAGTCGAACCAAATTTTCACAGATATTTCTAAACTTATTAGTCAATAACAATTAGCTCGAACAACTTTATCAATTCACATTTCCAGTCGTCCTCGACCTGCATGTTGAAAATGTCTCATTATAAATTCCTGTAGATGTTTGCCTATGAGGATATTTCTTAATTTTAACCCAACTATTCGTTTATTTGGCCTACGATAGTTTTAATTTTAGAAAGGTGAATAATTGTTTTTGTTTTGATGAAGGCAGAGAATAGTTTTGTATAATGGAATTTGAGGATTTTCTTACAATTTTCAAGGTGCGATTATTGAATTTTATTTTCCAAAATTAAATAGAAAAATTCCTGCATTTTTTCACTATTTTAGATAAATATGAAATACATTTTAAAAGGATAGTTCCTACTCACAGTAAGTGAGTAGGAACTATCCTTTTAAAAAGTATTGAACACCACACTCACTCCATCATTTATCATTTCTATAAATATTTGTATACAGTTTTACTATTTGTATACAGAAAATTAATAAAATGAAATGATTTAGGAACTAACATATTCTAAAAAATGGACTTGTTTTTAGCTTTAAGCTATTATATAGATTTTGTGAGAGAAAGGTTTGTACAGGCATTTTTGTTCATCAGAAGATTCAGTCCTTCCACCTCTTGCCCTTGTGAAGTCGGTCATGTAACAAAGTCCTGAAGAAAGTTAAGAAGAAAGCCTTTTTAAAGATAGATGACTCACCGGCTAACTGCAGAAGCAGAAGGGCGGTTAGCACCTTGAACGGCGAGCCCATGTCGAATCGTAGATCACCCTCGTGCCAAGTACATAACACGACACTGCACAGTTCTCGTACGAGCTTAAAAGTGAAAATAATCTCAAAAAGACGTCGTCGGCATTGTCCCTGAAGCCGCACTGGTCTTTCTTCGGGTGGGGGCTATGGGATTTGGGTCAAAATACCCACCACCACGACTACTCTCTACGCGGCTCTCCTCCTGCGACACCGTTCCCTTTCTAGGTGTACTTTCTCTTTCGATTCCCGAAGTGTATGTAAGTAAATAACGAGGGATAGCTGTCAATTTCTGTGGGAAGAGCTGTTACCGTAATAAACCATGCTTTGTGTAATACCTTTGGGCTACGCTTTCTCAATTCCGTTATCGAGCATAGTTGCGATAATTTCTCTAAAATTGATTATCTCTTACAATGTTCCCAGTTCTATAACCATCCCATCCTTGAACGAGATGAGATATATCAAGATAAGAATTATCCTTCTTTTTATCATTCATGATCTTTTAATCAATCCGTAGATGAAATTAATAAACTGTTTGGTAAGCACAGTAACCATTTGAACCTTGAACGACCGTGGCTATACCAAGATAAGAATTATCCTTATTTTAATCCATTTGTGATCTTAAAACCAAATCCCTAGTCGAAATTATCTTTTACCATTTTCCCAGCTCAATCCTTTTAAAAAAAGTTGGTTCCTACTCACATTAACCATTTACTTACTGTAGTAGGAACCATCTTTTTTAAAACGGATTGAACTCCACACTCACTCCATCATTCGTAATTTCTATTTTCCCAGCTCTGTACCATTCCGTCCTTGAACGAGGTGAGACTATATCAAGATTAGAATTATCTGTTTTTTTTCCATCCGAGGTCTTAAGCAAATCCCTAGATACCCCCTTTTACCATTTGCGCAGCGCAGTAACCATTCGATCTTGAACAACAATTGGCTATACCAAGATAAGAATTATCCTTATTTTAATCCATTCGTGGTCAAAAAACCAAATCTTTAGGCGAAATTACATTTTACCATTTTCCCAGCTCTGTAACCTTTCTATCCTTAAAATACCAGGAAATATATCAAGATAAGAATGGCAGACTACTAGATCATGCCATTACAAGTATTATTTTGTTATTTTGTAAAAAAAAATGTAATAATTTGTTTTCTTTTCTAAATATACTTTTATAAATAAATAAAAATATCAAGATAAGCATTATCCGTTTTTTCTCCATCCGTGGTCTTAAGCAAATCCCTAGATAATACCTTTTGCCATTTGCCCAGCGCAGTAACCATTCGAACTTGAACAGCCATTGGCTATACCAAGATAAGAACTATCCTTATTTTAATCCATTCGTGGTCAAAAACCAAATCCTTAGGCGAAATTATCTTTTACCATTTTCCCAGCTCTGTACCATTACATCCTTGAACGAGGTGAGGTTACATCAAGATAAGAATTATTCGTTTTTTCTCCATCCGTGGTCTTAAGTAAATCACTAGAAATTACCTTTTACCATTTTCCCAGCTCTGTAACCATTCCATCCTTAAAATACCAGGGAATATATCAAGATAAGAACTAACTGTTTTTTTATCCATCCGTGGTCTTAAGCAAGTCCCTAGATATTACCTTTTACTTGAACAACCATTGGCTATACCAAGATAAGAATTATCCTTATTTTAATCCATTCGTGGTCAAAAACCAAATCCGTAGGCGAAATTATCTTTTACCATTTTCCCAGCTCTTTACCATTCCATCCTTGAACGAGGTGAGGCTACATCAAGATAAGAATTATCCGTTTTCTCTCCATCCTTGGATTTAAGCAAATCCCTCGAAATTACCTTTTACCATTTGTCAAGGACAGTAACCATTCGAATTTGAACGACCATTGGTTATAACAAGATAAGAATTATTCTTATTTTAATCCATTCTTGGTCTTAAAGCTAAATCCTTAGGCGAAATTATCTTTTACCATTTCCCCACCTCTGTAACCATCCCTTCCTTGAACGGCTAGGGACTACACTTACTAGATAGGAATAGTTTCAAGCAGGATTTTATTATATGAAAAGATATATATATATAAATAGATAAGAAGCTTCCGGTAAAATAGGCAAAACATAATCTTAAAAAAATCGGATTCGTTTTAAGCACCTTTAAAAAAAGCGGTTAAATACGAATCTTTATGGTGTTAAAAAATAAACATTTTTGGACTGGAAATGCTCGCCAGGGACAATAAATTTTACCATGAGCTTTCTCCTCTTCTTTCAGGCTATACCAGCAACGTTTAGATTTTATGTCGTTATAAGTTATAAAAATCAACTTCTCAAACTTTTATTTTTATACCTCGAGTTTTAATCGGTTTGCGGAGATAACGTTTGTGCTATTATTACTTGACGTGTATATCGCTTTGAAGCCCTGTAGTTTCATTGCTTAAACGTTATCACCTTTTTATGATTTACAAGAAAAAATAAGTTTTTATCTTTAAAAAAAAAATGGTCGGTTACAAATTTTGTATTACAATATATACGAAACCCACTGGCCAAATATGGACATTTTATTTCCAGATTAGATTAAAATGTTTGTTCTTAAAATTAGGTGTTTTCGCCTTGCAGGATTTTTGCAATTGCATCTTTACAACTAGGATCAGGGATATAAGCAGGACGAGGCACAAAACACTACTGAACTTAAGGAAATGACAAAACTCGATCAATACCTTCAAGGCATTCTTTCGATCTTAAACTCATAAAATTATATTTTCAGCGTGTTGTGAAGAAATTAACTGCTTGATGGGAAAAATGAAAACAGACTTCGTTTTTCGATATTTTTTAATTAATTATTCTTTTTATGTAAAGTCTTGGTTGAGATGAAAAAGTTAATGTCACGAGCGGGATTCGAACCCACGACCTTCGGCTGGTGTTCGAATCCCGCTGGTGACATTTTTTCATCTCAACCAAGATTTTACATAAAAAGAATAATTAATTGAAAGAAGTAATTTGGTCGATCAGACCACTAAACATAATGGATTTTTTTAAATATTGAAATTGAACTTTACTTGAGATGGCATTTAAGACCCAAAGCGAAGTTCAATTTTAATGGTTTCATGTACTTATTTCTAGAATTAAATGCTTTAAAAATTTTTTTAAAGTTTCTTTTTTCTTGCAGGTGGCATCCAAAAAGTCGCTTTCGACGCTGCCGGCGAGTACGTCTTGACGTGCGGCGAGCGTCACGTACACATTTTTCACAACGTGACAGGAAGAAGAGCCGCGATCGCCGCCTCGAAGGAAAAACTGTCCAAATCCGGCCTGTCAACCCTGACCAAAGAACGCCTGGAAGGGATAATCAAAACTTCGCGTGAATTCCTGGAATCCATGAACGAACCCTGCTGAAATAGTGGGCCGTCCCGGATGAACGACTGACTACGTTTTTCTTTTTGTTTTCCTCTTTTGTAAAACGTACCAAATAACCACAAATTTGTATTGAATTTATACCCGAAATATATTTTCCTGAGAAAAAATGTGTTTGACAGTGTTTTTCATTTGTGTAAACGGAGCGGAAAAATTATTCCGGTCTCTAGTTTCACAGATTGCCTTTTCACTGAATGATTTGGTTGATTTCAAACAGTCTGATATATCCGTTTCAAAAAAATAAAAATCGCCATGCCTTTCGCACTTTTACAACACTTACATCTACCATATGGTTCAATGTAAACAATAAAGAAAAAATACCTCCATGGTAATGGATGAGGAATTATAAAGTGAAAAAATATATTTTAGTACGTCAATCGGTCTACATTAATTAAAATTGCCAGGGTTGTTGGTGGAACAGGTTTGCTAGCTTACTAGGGTTATAAAATCATTAAGTCCGTTAACTTGAGGAGAGAACTAGCAGAATTCCGGATCCGGCAGAAATTAGAAAAAGAACGGGGAATTGACCGCACTTGGAGCGAGGAATTGAATCATTCAGAAGAACAAGGGACGACCATAGTCAAATATTATAAAGTAAATTCACCAATTTCGTGGTCCTCTTGACCAATTAATTAAGGTTTTTAGTTGAGATAAAAAAGTCAATGGCACGAGTGGGATTCGATTTTTTATCTCAACTAAAAACCTTAATTAATTGTAATATATTAGTTGGTCAAGCGGACCACGAAATTAGTGAATTTAATGAATTAAAATGAAGTATACTTCACTAAAGCTCTCCGTGGCCATTTCATTTGTCGTCGAGAATCCAATCCGATTACACGACATTTGAAAAATGTCAAAAAGGAGAGAAAATCCAAAAGGTGGGGTTGAGATGGGAAGTTAGTGTCCTAGTGGATCGAGGTCACGATAGCTCAAGTGGTAGAGCAGCGGCGTATCTAGCCGAAGATCGTGAGTTCGAATCCCGCTCGTGCCATTGACTTTTCAACTAAAATCCTTAATTAATTGTAATATATTAATTGGTCAAGCGGACCACGAAATTAGTGAATTTAATGATTTAAAATGAAGTATAATTCACTAAAGCTCTCCGTGGCCATTTCATTTGTCGTCGAGAATCCAACCCGATTACACGACATTTGAAAAATGAAAAATGGCAAAAAGAAGGGAAAATTCAAAAGGTGGGGTTGAGATGGGAAGTTAGTGTCCGAGTGGATCGAGGTCACATAGCTCAAGTGGTAGAACAGCGGCGTATCTAGCCGAAGATCGTGGGTTCGAATCCCGTTCGTGCCATTGACTTTTTTATCTCAACTAAATACCTTAATTAATTGTATTATAAAGTAAGTAAATAGTCATTTATGATTTACAATTTAATTTTAGATTATCTATTAACTAATTTATCAATAATTTATACGAAACCCGAATTTTGCAACCAACAAATTTGACATAATTGCCAATAATTTTACATTTTTATTTACACGGATTAAAATAACGCTACTCTTTCATTAGATTGCCCCTCCCTACAAACTCGGATTAGTTCACCGCCTGATATCAGACCACCCCTTGAATTTGACAGGTAAATATATGAGGATGATCCTAATCTCAAATCTTTTTCTATGCAGATTGAATTTTTTTTTGGTTTCCTTAGATTGCCCCTCGTCCACCGCCTGATATCAGACAATACTTGAATTTGACAGGTAAATGAAAATGATCCTAATCTCAAATCTTTTTCTACGCGGATTAAAATAATTCCATGCTTTCCTTTGACTGCCCCTCCCTTCAAACCAGGGTTAGACCACCGCCTGATATCAGAACATCCCTTGAATTTGATAGGTAAAAATATGAAGATGATCCTAATCTCAAATCTTTTTCTATGCGGATTGAAATTTTTTTTCGATTTCCTTAGATTACCCCTCCCTACAAACACGGATTAGTCCACCGCCTGATATCAAACCACCCCCTTCAATTTAACAAGTAAATATATGAAGATGATCCTAATCTCAAATATTTTTCTATGCGGATTGAAATAATTTTACTGTTTCGTCAGATTGCCCGTCCCACCTAACCCGAGGAATTTCCTATTTCCAGGAAAATTATTC